AATGTTGTTATGAAGAATCTTGGATTGTATCTCTTAGATTAACTGGTCTGAATAACACAGTTGTCTATTGCAAAAATAATGGATGAATAATAGAAGATTTGATATGTGCATTGAATATAAATAGTTAAGAACAATAATAGCCTTGATAAAATTATCCATATTTTGTGCCTCCCCCAGATGACAGTCAGAATAACTTTAATTGGTTCTTCTTTCATAAAGTATAACAAGAGCAGCTTTTATAAACCACTATTTTTATAGAAATTGTTCTCCGAAGGTCTGTCTTAAATGCTTTATTGCAATCACATTTGTCCTTTTCTTAGAGAGCTTAGCCAAGTCTGTATTCTAAGCATTAGTTATCTTGGCACCAGAGAATCAGAAACAGATAAGAATGGAACCATCTATTCTTCTTTGATCGGTGAATCTGCCTTACTTCCAGCAGACCTGCCAGGATCTCATGCTGACACAAGGAAAGAAAACTAATATTGACATTTTTCTCCCTCCGCTGAGGCAGCCATTGCTCTTTCAGTAGTGTGATACACGGTGCAATTAATACCCTCGATGTACACTATATCATTCTTCTGCCTCACTATTCCAACCCATCACCTCCCTTTTAAAAGATGCTTGGCTTATTTATGGGCTGAAATACACCAGAATCCAGAAAATTGAAGATTTAGGTTTGTGGTATTTAAAAAATACTGCTCTTTTCTAAGAAATCATGTAGGAGAGAAATCATGTCCCCCCCCCACACACACACATACATAAATGCAGATTCTAACATAAACTAGTTGAAGGAAGTTCAGAAGAAGGATGTTTCCATCCTATTTTCTCCAGCCCATATCCTATTCTGGGATTCACAAAATAGGGCAGGGGACAGAGCAAATAGCATACTGTAAGTCTAAAAACCAACAAAGAGTACAGACAATAAACAAAAGCACAGTCGATATCCCAGCTGAAGTTAGCAGACTCTAATACAAAGAGCAAAGAATTATCTTGGGGCAGATGAGAAGCCAAGTAAGAGGTAGCTGATAGGGTCCCTTGTGGAGATCTGTGAGCTGCTTGGATTATTGTGGAGGAAAGACACCGATATAACACCACAACACTCACTGCATGTTGCTCTAGATACAACACACTCAGCACATGAGCAATTAAGGATCCAGCCTCCCCTGCACTAACATCATTCATATATGATCAATATCATGTGTTCAGCTGTATTATATGGTCCTGGTTCATGTGAAGATCTTGGAAATGGAAATATGCCTTTAGCCTTTCTCCTGATGTGCTGACTGCATGATGTGAAATTAGGACCCAAATTCAAACCCACTCTCAAGCTATGGAATCTCACTGGGTGACTTGGGCAACCCCTACTTTCTCAGCCTAGCCTACCTGTCAGAATTGTCATGGTGATAGTGAAAAATGGGAGGAGAAGACACTATGGACATTGCCTTGAGTTCTTGGGGTAAACTGATGATAAATAATGCTGCTTTTTGTGACTTTAGTGGGAGACAGGATTCACCCGAAGCACTTGCTTGATGAGCATTATTTTGAGCAAGCCCTAAATGAGATTATGGTCAATGCAGGATCTGCTAGATTAGTAGTTTTTAAACTGTGGTTTGAGGCCATCATAACTTCAAACTGTCATTAAATGAACACTCATAAGTCAAGGACTACTTGTACATTCTTTTATTTGTTGTTCTGTTTCCACATTTCAGTAAGTTTATACATTTTAGAAATTGCATGGTTAGCATGTGTACACAATTCTGTTTCAAACTGAGTTCTCCAATATTCAGAAACAAATTATTTAGTCTACTTTAAATCTTCCCAATAACTGCAAAATAAGAAAACAAATGGCATCCGTTCTTCTCTTCATTTTATTTTTATTCCCTTTGACAAAATTATATTTCTTGGTAATTAGTCATTTTTGTTTGCCTGTGATTTTTCATCGATAAAATCCTTCTTGTGCTGAGAGTCACAAATACATTTTGGGCACAATCTGGGTTTGTATCTATTTCATATTCGCAATATGTCACATATAACATAATGATTTTTAAAATCCACATTAACCTTTACTTTACTCATGCCACAGATACCATGCCACCCAAATCTCTGGTTATATCCTTCTAACCCCAAAAACCTTTTGTTTCTCAGCAGCATCTACTCTTTCATCCAAACCAAACAGTAAGCTGCAAAATGTGTCTTCAAATCAGATCAACGCAATCCTTCTCTTTCCTTTGCATCTTGTAATACTTTATATTTAACTCATGTTTAATATAGTTAAAGATTTTCCCCCTACCACACAAATTTAGATATATTCTTTTGGCACTGTTTAAATGGTACAAAAGTATCATTCTAGGCAGGACTTCCATTTTTATTATAGAAATTCTCCCCAGCAATGACAATTATACAGTAGTTTCTCTCATCTTAGCAACATAATTATTTTGAAATCAGATACAATTCATATTTGTCATAGCGATATGCAAATATTTCATTTTCTTCTCAATCTTAAAACCCATTTTATTCATCAGTTTTATTTGATCTCTATTTTCATGCTTTTGTTAACATTTTTATCTTCAGTTTTGATCTAAAATCCTGCTAATGCACCATTATTTTTTTAGTTTTCCGATTAATGTTTCAATTCCCTTTAAGGGATCTTCTAAAGTCAACACCAAGTCATCTGCAAAATGGTTTACAATTTTTTAAAAAATCTTTACTTTCACAATTCTCTCATTTAATTTTATATCTTTATTCACTATTTCAAGAACCAAAATAAACAATGAAAGAATGTGGCCATTTCTGTCTTGTTTTTTTAGTATCTCTATTAGGTTTTTGTTAGATTGCTATCAATAATTATTTGTCTTTTTGGTGAAGCATAAATTAATCTTATTACAGTCTGTAGGGATACATGAATCACACAAGCCTCGATTTCTAAAATACTCTTAGATGTAACCAATTTACAGCTAAAGAGAGATTTTCTGAGTTGCAGGGTAAGAGACTTCCACTTGGTAACCCAACATTTTTTCTGGACTAAAAGGGAAAAAAAGAGATTTTATGATTTAAAAGATTTTTGTCAAAAAGCTTAACAAGAAGTGGATGTAAAAGAAAGTTGAAAACAGATGAAGGGGATAGTTATTTTGAAATTTATTTTAGTGAATGAACTTTGGAATAATTTGGAATTAAAATAGAGCAATGAAACAGACATTTGTGGGAATGCTCTTTTGTTTACTAATATAGAGTGCAGACAATTGGTGGATTTTACAAAACAAAAAATATTGTGATGCTGGCTATAACCACAGAGTGCCATTTGAGACAACTAAAGTATTAAGGACAGAAAAAAACGCTTTCCTTTTACTTTTTCCCTGGCAATTGAGATACTTTCCCTTTTGGATTACAATATTACAATGCCAACCACCAGAAAAACAGCATGAATAGCAAAAGAGAGGAGAGGATCGCTAGAGCAATCTGCAGAGAGATGAATTATACCACATTTACTTTCAAAAAGATTTGAGGAATTGAGCAATAAGTTAACTGACTCATTTGATACTTAATGGGCCAAATTCCTGGATACTAAATTGACAGTTTTTTGGGGGAAAAAAGAATGAATGAAAGATTCGTAAAGATGAAAGAGAAGATGAAAGAAGTTAAAAAGATGGACAGTTCTCTAAAACAGGTGTTTGGAGGTGTAAAATAAATTGTCATTTGCCTTAGAAAGGCAGAAGATATGGGCAGCTGGAAAGAGAATTAGATAAATTGGGAGTACTGGAAGAGATAAATCCTGACTCAATCTCAATAAGAGATTTAAATAGCCAAATAATAGCACATTCAAAATACATCTCCCAGTAGTGTAGGTCTATAGCAGTTCTCTTCCCCTTAGGAGCCTTCTAAAAATAATGACTGTGATTACCATTAATGATACTCAAAAGAAAGGAATCACTTTTTCTAACAAACGCTACTGGAAATTCCCCCCCCCACCTAGATAGCAGCCAACCTTGAAGAGGATATACAGTCACATTTTAAAGGTCCGAGTTGGTAAAAAGGCTTAATAAAAATAGAGATACTGCATACAAAGTGAAAATTACCTATACCTAGATAAAATATAGCCTAGTTTTGTGTAATTTTGATGAAATCCCTGTAGTTCTAAAAGTTCTACGTCAAGTAGAAACTCAAGTGAGATTGGAAGGAATGAAGTCACCTTTAAAACAACCAGTTGTGTTTGGAAGTGAGCCTTTACTACGGTAGGAAAACACATGGGCAATGGTCACAAGCCCTATCCAACCCCCAGGGGCAACAGAAAATAATAGTTCAACATATGCCTAATCTAAATAAAAACACCTCAAGAAGAGTACCATAGGGAAAACAAACAAACAAACAAACAAATAATCACAAATAACAAAAGGCTTCAATTTTTCATAGAATATAAAAAAGCAGAGAAGAAAGAATTGATAAGCACAAAGGAGGCATGCAGGCAGTAACAAAAATGGCAGGGCATTAAGGTGAAACTAGGAAACAAATACCAAGCAAGATCTGAAACAAGGTCACCAGATTTAGTAGTATAGTTTCATGAAGAAAGCAGTGACGTATTCATCAAAAAGTATGCTGTAAATCGAGCCTTTGATCTAAGAATTTCTAACAAATGATACATTAAACATGCCATGTGTGTTTTTATGTGTGTACACACACACAAGTGCACATACACGCAAACCATTTGTGCTCTATAAAACTCTCAGAACTGAAATGCCGCCCAGAAAATGACATTAATAAGACCAAGAGAACAGAGTAAGGAGGAAAGACCACTAATCATTACTACTCAGGGGAATAGGTTGGTTGCAGCTAATAGACTTTGTGAAAATGCTAGGAATCTATTTCAAGACGCCTCTTGCTCAATACTTATTTCTAACAAATGTGAAATGTGGGCTACCTTTGCTGTGCAAACACCCAAAGGTATGTAAGTTTAACCTTCAATAATCACAACCTGTTTTCTTGCCCCTCTCTTCCTCTGCCTGCAGATGAATCCAGCCTGAAAATGAATGAGGTAGACCATGTGCCTCAGTCCCTTGCTAGCCACTCTGACAGCTACCTCTGGGGGGCACAAAGGGATGAACATGGAGCTGATATGCTGAAGCCTGACCCTCGGGATATTTTCTTCCTCAGTAAGTGGGAGAGAAGAAACAATTTGACTAAGAGAAAACCAGTTGGATACTAGGAACCTGTGTTATGCTCTGAAGTATGATAAAAGCAGACACTTGGGGATTAGGCTAAGGAAATATCTGTGTGAGCAACAAAGGGTTAAACAGGCATTTGTAAAAAAAATGTTTATGTATGTGAAATTGACCACTTTTCTGAGAACTTTGGAAAGGGCAAGATAGATCTCTCTAACCTGATGTTCACCAGGAATATTGTGGTACTTCAGCATGGGAATAATGAAAGGTGGTCCAATATTGTTTATAATGCACCAGGGTAGGTAGATCACTTTATGCTGGATGGAAGAATGCTCCTAAAAAAAGTGCTTCTCCACAGAAAGCAAAATCCCTCCTCATAAAGTGCCAAAATGACAAATATCTGGCACTTAACTGAAGAAATTAAGTGTGACTGTCATAGACTAGGACAAATCAGACAAGAAGATCACAATCTGGAGTGAATCATCACTTACGTTGAGTTCGTGTGGACCCTGGAACATCATGTGGTCTAGAAAGGTCTCATTTCTTCTTTCTTAATTGCCTTTATCTCAGCTCCCCAGATTGAGCCATCCCATGTGGAGAATGTGCTGGTCCCCTGTGCCTACAGCCCCACATATGTGGTGAAGGACTTTCCTATTGCCCGCTATCAGGGCCTGCAATTTGTAAGTGTCTGATGGGCTTTGTTACCATTTTTTCCCTGCCCACATCTCTTGTCTTTTTATTATTTCTTGTTAGTATGCAAAATAACAGCATCAAGAGTGATCAGAATGTTTTAATAGGAACTGCATTAACATTAGTAAACCAGAAAAGGAAGGAAAGGTGAATCTAGGAAGAGAGAATTGGGAAGGGATAGAGAAGAGAATGGGAAGGTAATTGCTGCCTGAATACCAAAACCATATTGAATTTCTTTTATTAATCCCTGTGTTTCTTTAGCCACAATATCCTGGAGTGGAAGTTTGTTTCTCAGTAAAAGAAAATAAAAGCTAAATTTAAATTTAAATTTATCACAACACATACATTGAGATGCAGACCTTAACAATTTCTCTCACCCTAGCTAAGAAAGTTTATGGTCTTGTATAATAATCATGTTTTAGGATTTGCTTGTTCCTGATGAGATTATCCACACATCTGTTCTTTTTCCTTAGTCTCTTTTGAAACTGGGATGATAGACACCTTACTGTGACTTTTCTCACCAGTTTTCCCCTTCTACAGGTCTACCTCTCTTTTGTTTATCCTAATGATTTCACCCGGCTTACACACATGGAGTCAGAGAACAAATGCTTCTACAGAGAGTCTCCACTGTACCTGGAGAAGTAAGTATGAAGGAGAGTCACTACAAAGCAGCTCTGAAAGAAATGATTGAAGTGTAGAAAGTCCGTTGGTGAAAGAAGTATGTTATCTTTTAACAGGCTGAAGCTTCATCCACACAACCTGCTCACAGCAATGACGATATGTCCCACTTACTGTTTGTTCAGGACTTTGCAATGGAGCCTCATCTAGGAGGCATGTTGAAGCTGGGTCCAAGGTGTTATGGCTTGAAAGAAATATTTTTCTAGAAGCTCTCTTTTGGACAATAGCAATAGCACCTAGATTCAGAGCTTTTTTTTGTCATAGAACGCCCAGAACAGAGTTCCGGCACCTTTTTTGGATGGAACCTTGTAGGGTAGGCAAGGCGGGTTGTATGACGTGTGTGAGTTCCGGGACCTTTTTTTTTTTTTTTTTTTTACAAAAAAACACTGCCTAGACTTATATATTGCTTTATAGAACTCTCTGGGTGGTTTACAGAGTCTATTGCCCCCAACAATCTGCGTCCTCATTTTACTGACTTCAGAAAGATGGAAGGCTGAATCAACATTGAATCAGTCAGGATCAAACTCCTGGCTGTGGGCAGAAACCAATATGGCTCCTTGGCATATGGGGGAAGAGGCTTGAGGTGAGATGATCAGAGATGCAAATCTGCTCAGCTGCAATCCATCTAGCAGGCCTGTGATGGGACCACCTTCTTTTGTTCAGTCTTGGGGCCTGACACTTGTTTCTGTGCTGCTCTCTTGACTCTGTGGGAGACTAAAATTGCCATGCTTTTACAGGGAGTTCCTCCCTCCTCATCCCCACTTTAAGTATTGATGACTGGTGGACCTAGAGATCATGAAGCTTTCTTCATGACTAGCCTTTTCTGCCTTAACAAGGGTAATGGAAATAGAAAATTGTGCTTCTGTGGCCCATATGATGAGGTATTCCCTTCCCAGTGCCCAGTGCTCTTTGGGAATGCCCCTCAGCCACTCTCTTCTTGGAATGTTCTTTCTTTAAAAAAAGTTATTTATAACACACAATCTGGTACAGACAGTTATAATTTTTTCCCCTTCTATCCTTTCGGATGTTCAAAATGTGTATGTGTGCTATGATGTGATACATGAATCAATGAAGTGGTGAAGCTGGTGGAAGTTGCTGAGATGGCTAAATTGATTTGTTTGATCAGAGAAAAGGCAATGACTTTGTTTATTGCTGCATAGCAACGCCTTATAGACTTCTTGCATGAATCAGAAAAAAAATGAACTTGCGATTTATGGTTTTGATTATTAGACTGGATAAATTGTAGAAAGAAGAGAGCACAACCACCATAGAATAAGGGATAAATTTATAATTGTGCATATAGCTGCTCTAAAGAAAATTGGAAACTATTCTTTCTATCTTATTTCTTTCTTTCCTATTTTTCTTTTACTTTTTTTTCTTTTCTTGAATTTTTAGGATTCTCTTGGATTTATTTCTTCATTTTCCATTAGTTCGTATTAGTTTTTATCTTTTTTTAAAATTATACTAAAAATGAATTAGTAAAGAATCTCCATCTGTTTAACAATGCACTACTATAGCTATATCTCAATTACAGAAATCTGGACAATCGCTAGGTGGCTAAGGAAGGGAGGGTTTTTTGTCTTTTTTGCCACCATCTACCGGTAGTAGTTGATAAATAGATCTGAAATAAAACTGGAGGAATTATGAAGATGTGCCTGAGCAGAGCATCCCACAGCTGAACACTTTTCTGAGACACACTAAAAGCCCTTTAACTCTCCAAGAACACTTATTCAGTGGCTTCACCTGAGTAGCACAAATCCATAAAGCTACCACATTGCAGTTAGCACACATCACTACCCAGGTGCACATTTTGCACATCATTTGGTAGTGGCCTTTCCTATCATTAGAGACAGTTGAATGTGACCGAGGAACAGCACCAGTCCCTGCTCTCATATTGCCACTGGAGAAACTGCACAGAAAGCAGCACAGCATGGCCTCATGTTGGATGGTCCTTAGGAGCAGCACGATTTAGGCTGACATGATTTCCTCCCAGCTCTGGGGCAGGAGGAGGGCACAGCAAAGCAACTCTGTGGAACTATTTGAAATATAAAATAAGAATGCAAGAAATATTTGACCTTTGGGCTTCTAGCCCATATGATGATAGAAAGGCTAGAGGACAAATACTGTTGACCCATTCCCTTATGATTTGCCTCTCTTTCCGAAGAGAAGGACGAGGGGGGACATGATAGCAGTGTTCCAATATCTCAGGGGCTGCCACAAAGAAGAGGGAGTCAAGCTATTCTCCAAGGTGCCTGAAGGCAGGACAAGAAGCAATGGGTGGAAACTGATCAAGGAGAGAAGCAACTTAGAACTAAGGAGAAACTTCCTGACAGTTAGAACAATTAACCAATGGAACAACCTGCCTCCAGAAGCAGTGAATGCTCCAACACTGGAAGTTTTTAAGAAGAGACTGGACAGCCATTTGTCTGAAATGGTGTAGGGTTCCTGCCTGGGCAGGGGGTTGGACTCGATGACCTCCAAGGTCCCTTCCAACTTTATTATTATTATTATTATTATTATTATTATTATTATTATTATTATTATTATTGTTGTTGTTGTTGTTGTTGTTGTTGTTGTTGTTATTATTATTACTACTACTACTACTACTACTATTATTATTATTATTATATAATAATAATAATAATAATAATAATAATAATAATAATAATATAAACGTACCGATAGGAACTAGTACTTCGGGACATCTTCTATAGAGGTTGGGATGAGGCAACATAAAAATTTTTACTAATTTTATTGGAACTTACTGTACAATGTACACGACTACTCAGGGTGAAGAACTGATAGTTGTCGACGTCCCTCCTCAGAATACAATAAGTTACACATGAGCTGTGATTTTAATCTGTTCAGGTTCCAGCTTGTGAAGAATCTTCACAGATGTCTGGAAGGCCCTTTCAGCAAACATTTGCAGGAAAGGCATGAACCGCACAGAGAAGGCTTACTGGAAGACTGGGGGCTCTTGACATACCTCTGTGTGACACTCTCCTGATACTTGAGCCAGTTTCAATTACAACTGGGTCAAGTACAGGAAGTATAGATTTCTGTGACTTAGATATGAGTGCCTCTGACACTGGCATTGAGACAGAGCCTTACCTTTCCCATGCTTTGCTCCACTTACTAATCAGACATGCATTGTGTTCTTTTCTACCTAAGTGTTCAGAAGCTCAGTTTCAGCAACTCTCTGTCCTTCAGTACTGGTGCATCTAGGTGAGTACACGTGTGTAGCAGACTACTCCAGAAATCTAGTGAAGCAAGCTGTGACTCACAAAAACTTACCCTTGCAATATTTATAAGTTTCTAAAATGCCCTTCTAAAATCTGTGAGAAATAGGATAATGTAGGCCAAGACCCTCAGATACATTTGAGCAACACAGACTGCATATGGGTTTGTGTAGGTACACATACACTGCATCTGAAATGTTATTCTTTTTAATTCCAGATTTGGTTTTTCTAAGTACATGAAAATGGATGAAGAGGAGGAGGATCTACACCAGAGAGCCTTCCTCTTCCTGAATCCTGATAGTGAGTATTCCCAAGATCCAGCTTCATCCAGCCAATCAGAGACCACTTTTAGTTTTTAACTTATTTTATAAGCAGCTATTGAATCATTGACTGCCAGCAGTATTATAATAATACCATTCGCTTGCAGGACTTGTGGTAACATTTTTGCACTAGCCACTTGCAGAGCTTACATTTCCAGCTGTGACAAGTTATGTTCTGGGGTGATTTCTGAATGCATTTACACAGGCACTTCTTTTTTAGATAGCATTGACAGCTCTGCTCCTGTAACAGAAAACTAATGTGAAAATCAGTTCTTCTTATATATACAGTAATAAGATATTGGGTTTGTGCACATCCTGCTGGCTATACACAAGCAGATTCTCAAGTGGCCTTATTAAAGGCATGCAGTGCTGCTTATGCACAGAAGTATTTGATTCTGGTCCTATTCTGTAGGGAGCATCCTATACAGGTAGTTTTCGACTTATGACCAATCATTTTAATGACAGTTTGAAGTTACAACAGCCTCAGAAAATGTGACTTACAATCTATCCTCAGTTATGACTGTCACACTACACCAGTGGTCATGTGATCGCAATTTGGATTCTTAGCAACTAGTTCCCATTTACAACGGTTGCAGCAGGTTGTAGTCAGATGATCATGGTTTGTGTCAGCCCTCTCAGGTAAATCAGACAGGAAATACAATGAGATGAAGTGATTCTATTTTATTGTAAGGCTACATTAACAGAATCTTGCACGTCTGAAGACACAAAACCTCCCGCCTCCACTTTTAACTGCTTGATCCATTAGGGTGGGTCTTTCCTAAGTTTCTTTCCCTGACTGTTAACCAACTGCAGGCATCTATCCCTTGTCTGATTTTTTCCTATGCATCATCTCCTCCTCCTCTTTCCCCATGGTCATTCATATATTGCATTATATCTAAGACCTTTCCAGTCAGCTTGGGACAAGCAAAGTCAATTGGGGAAGCTAGACTCACTTAACATCCACATGGTTTGCTTAACAACCACAGTCATTCGCTTATTGACTGAAGTAAAACTGGTTGTAAAATCAGATCTAGTTGGGTAATGACCACATCACTTAGCCATTAAAATTGCAATCCCAATTACCACCAAAAAGCAAGGACTCCCTGTACCTTCAAGAACTCACTGATCTCTGCTCTTCCCTGTATCTTTGCGACATTGGATTTCGAAAGCCCCTCCCAACCAAGGAAGCCATTTTTGCCATCTAGACCAGACATGTCAAACACAAGGCCCAGGGGCCGGATGCGGCCCGTGAAGTGGTTTCATGTGGCCCGCGAAGCTATCCTGGAAACAGTGAGGGAATGGCCCCTGCTACCTTGGCCCTGGCCCAGGCCGGCCGGGAGCCAATGTACAATTTTGTGGTGGCCATCTATGC